ATTACTGTGCTCAATTGGCCTGCCAACTCTCCTGACCTGAACCCCATGGAGAACCTGTGGGATATTGTGAAGAGAAAGTTGAGAGACGCAAGACCCAACACTCTGGATGAGCTTAAGGCTGCTATCGAAGCATCCTGGGCCTCCATAACACCTCAGCAGTGCCACAGGCTGATTGCCTCCATGCCACACCGCATTGAAGCAGTCATTCATGCAAAAGGATTCCCGACCAAGTATTGAATGCATAACTGAACATGATTATTTAAAGGTTGGCATTTTTTGTATTAAAAACACTTGTCTTTCATTGGTGGGATGAAATATGCTATTTTTTTGGGACAGGCATTTTGGGTTTTCATGAGCTGTATACCATAATCATCAGTATTCAAACAATTAAAGACCTGAAATATTTCAGTTGGTGTGCAATTAATCTGAAATATATGAAAGTTTCATTTTTATCATTGCATTATGGAAAATAATGACCTGTATCACAATATGCTAATTTTTTTAGAAGGACCTGTATATCACAATATGTTTTTGGTATAAAACTTGCAATAGGAATGAAAAAAAGCATAGGGCGTCCTTTTGCCATCATTTGTTTTGAATGAAGAAAATTTCACTACTAGATCTAAAGGGTTTTTAAATAATAAATCAAGTATTAGGCTTCTTTCTTGTAGTGCAAAACAGTGCAAAATATCAAATGTAGTTTTAGCCATATGTTTTAAACTAAAGAATATATTGTTAATGCTTAACAGTTTCCAGTATTCTCATTTAAGAAATGAACAGCAACAGAGCAGCAAGTGCAAACTGAAAACACTTCACCCTCCAACCCTGTAGTTGGCGCCTTCTTCTGCTTTAAAGAGAGCTGACACAAAATGACTGTGGCCAGAGGGTCTCGCAGTAAAATCACACAACACAGTGTTCTTTTCACAGATCAGAGAGCAGGTTTCTCTAAAGCTGACCAACGCTTACTTTAGCTCGCCGGCTCGCATTAGCATAAATGTGAGACCGCAGAACGAGTCCAGTGAGAAACCTCGCTCTCAGCAGGAGCGGCACGCGTCTCACTGCAGCGGTGTCAAATGCGCGCTCCCGCGGCGCCGGCAGCTTTCACCCAAACTGCGCCGTGTGGATGAGAGTGCACACGCCTCTCCTCAACACATGACGGTCCACATCGACATGAATGTGAACCCGCAGCCTGAGCGCGGCACAGAGGCGTGCTCAGAGCCCTTTCGAGGAAGCCCCGCCTTGGGTCACGCGGAACACACTTCCACGGTGCCTGACGGCGATCGAGGCTGTAGACTGGCTGACGTCCGTAAGAAACATGACACACCACCTAAACGCACGCCCACTCCACGAACGTCGCGCAGAGTGGCTGCGAACATGTTCGCCAGACAGATGGATGAGCAAGTTGATAAGCAGGGGTTATACGCTGCAATTCGCAGCTCGACCCCCTCCGTTCAGAGGAGTTTTAGAGACAGTTCTGTCATCACCAGACCAGGTCTCATCCATAAATGCAGAAGTCCAGGAACTTCTGGTAAAAGAGGTAATTTCCAGAGTTCCTGACGGAGAAGAAAACACAGGTTTTTACTCACGTTACTTCCTGGTTCCAAAACGGACCAGAGGAACGAGACCGATTTTGGACTTGTCAGTTTTCAAAAAGGCAATCATGGACAGACCGTTTCACATGTCTATCGATCTGAAAGACGCCTACTTCCACATACCGATCATCCCAAAGCACAGAAAATTTCTGCGCTTCTCCTTTCAAGGGATGCAGTATCAGTACAACAGGCTGCCGTTCGGTTATTCCCTCGTGCCTCGTACGATCTCAAAGTGTGTGGAGACGGCCCTACAACCATTACACAGAGCAGGGATGAGAGTTTTGTTTTACCTAGACGATCTGTTGTCACGATTCACGCCTGTCTGAGTTTATATTTTTGTCACGTTGTTCACTGCTTGGTGTCTGTGGATTTTCTCCTCTGCTATTCTTCTTATTTATATGTGTTTCTCTTTGGTTTTGAGACTTTTATTTCTGCAGCACTCTGTCTGTTTCTCTCTGCTGGCTGCATGATAGTTTAAATTTGTCTTTCCCTCACTTCACTCTGCACTGATTAGTTTTCATTAGCTGCACCTGTCGCTGCACCCTTTATAAACCTGGTCTGTCCACAGGGTGAGCGCCAGATAGTCGAAAACAGCTTGCCTGCCAATAGATATCCCGCGCTACTTTCCTTTATAGTCTCCTGTCCTTTCATAGTTTCCCTCCTGCCTTGTTTTGCCTGCCCTGCTCCTGTCCCTCCTCCCGGTCTTCGTATCCTCGCCTCTGTTTGCTTACTTCCTGGTTATCGACTCCGGATCGTCTGACCTCGCCTCTCGCCTGCTCCTTTGGATTTATTCTTCTCCTGCTGGTTCTCGACCCACGCCTGCTCCTGACCTGCCTATCGCCCGCTCCTGCATGGTACTGTCGCATCTCTGCTCTCTGGTTTTGACCTTCGCCTGCACGACTACGCCTCCCGCCTCACGGATCGGGTTCTGGTTCGGCGCCGCTGCGGATCAGCGCTTTTCATCCATCCATCCATCCTTGGGTTCAACGCTGCAGCCGGCTGACTCCCTTCACCGGGATCATTCCTCCTGCAGTGGGCACATCAGCTTGGAGCGACTTATTAATCCCACGCCCCCTTCAACCAGAGTAACGGTTAGTGGTCTCACCTTTTTGACATTTGCACCTGCTTCTGTCTCCCGCCTGGCCACTAACCGTACTCTACTTGTTTACAGACTCGTTCCAGCCCGAGCTCTTAGATCGACACCAGAACCAGTTCTTTCTTTGAGAAGCCAGACTCTCTCCAATAAACTTTTATATTTAGTTTCAAGTGTTTGTGGTGATTTTGGTCCAGTATTTGAAGGGGTTCGTTACATCTGTTGCTGCTGTCACGCTCCAGACGGGAAGCAGCAGCGCAGACTCAGGTCTTGACGTCACACCTGCTAAATATGGACTTCGCCATAAATTGGGAAAAAAGCTAGATTCTCCCGGCCCAGACAATTGTTTATCTGGGAGTGGAACTAAACTGGATCACCATGAGGGCTCGTTTATCACAGACGAGAATCAACACTCTAAGAGTCCAGCTCCGCCATGTAAGACCTGGCAGAGTAGTAACAGCTATTTCTGTCATGAAGCTGTTAGGAACGATGTCGTCAGCTCATACAGTGGTTCCGCTGGGCTTACTCCACATGCGATGCCTCCAGAGATGGTTTGCTCGTCTGCACGTGGATCCGGTAAAGCAAAAGAAACGGATGATCGCTGTACCACCCTCCGTGAGAACAGACCTCCGACACTGGGGAAACTCCCTGGTTCTGTCGGAGGGAGTCCCCGTCAGCAGAACTATGTCATACGTGTCAGTCTTCACAGACGCATTGCTGTCAGGTTGGGGGGGGGCATGCCAATCTCGAGCTGTAGGGGCGCTGTGGCCACCTCACACAACAGCTCATATAAACGTTCTGGAATGTCGCAAGGTTCTGAATGTGATTCAACACTTTGCTCCTGTGCTACAGAATCAACACGTTTTGATTCAAACAGACAACAAGGTTGCTGCTGCTTACATAAACCGGCAGGGGTGTGTGCGCTCAACCCAAATGTTACACATTGCAAGAAAACTACTGTGTTGGGCACACCAAAATCTGCTCTCCATCAAAGCAGTGTACATCCCCGGTGTTCTGAACAAAGGGGCAGATGTGATGTCCAGTGGCGGTCCACGTAACGGGGACTGGACTCTCCACCCCGATCTGATGGCTCAGACATGGCAGAAATTTGGCAAAGCAGCTGTGGACCTGTTTGCGACACGAGAAAATGCTCAGTGTCAAATATGGTTTTCACTGAGCCCGCAAGACGAACCACCACTGGGGGTGGACGCCTTTGCTCACAGCCCATGGCCCAAAACGCTTCTTTACGCGTTCCCCCCATCTCCTTTTACATTAAGGTTTCTGAACCGAGTTCAGGAGGAGGAATTGACAGCTCTCCTGGTGGCTCCCGAGCGCGTGAACGCGCCATGGTTACCGGTTCTACGACGCCTGTTATCGGGGCGCCTGTGGAAACTGCCGTGGAGGGAGAACGCTCTCCTCTAGGCGGGAGGAGCGATCAGGAGTTACCCAGAAATAGGCCAGCACATGTGGGTCTGGCCACTGAGCAGATCCGCTTAGAGAGGATGGGTCTCCCACAGGATGTAGTGCGCACAATCCAGGATTCACGTGCTGCATCTACCACAGCGCTGTACACATCAAAGTGGGCAGCTTTTCAGCGCTGGTGTACAGAGAAAGGTGTAGAGACCACCTCATGTCCACTAGGCGACATGCTGTCCTTTCTGCAGCAGCTGATGAACAGAAATCTGGCATTCAGTACGATTAAAACGTACGCTGCAGCCATCTCTTCCTGTCACGAAGTGTTCGGAGACAGAACAGCCTTTAATCATCCGCTGATGAAGCGTTTTTTAAAAGGTGTACAAAGACGCAGGCCTGTTTTACGCCCACTTGCTCCACAGTGGGATTTAACGCTGGTCCTGCGGGCCCTGATCAAAGCTCCATTTGAGCCTCTGGATCAGGTTTCAATTAAATTCTTGTCTCTTAAAACAGCCCTGCTATTGGCTTTAACATCCGCTA